TTTATATATACAGTCTATGGGTAAACCACATTATCATCTCACAACAAACACAAAGGGGATAGAGCCTTTGCAATATGGGGTCCTGTATTATAGAAACGACCTGCCTGAGGAGATCAGGGTTTCAAACGTTGTCTTTTCGTTAAAACACTTTTAAAAACTATCTTTTATGTGATTTTATATGGGTTTTTTGACTTTGTGTTTGTTTTACTTCCTGTGTTTTATAACTTTATTTAGTTGCTGTTTTTAATGTATTCCCTTATATGTGTGTTTTGAAAGGGTTTGTATACATACATAATAATAATATAATTAATATATAACGTTTATTATTGTGTGTGTGTGTGTGTGTGTGTGTGTGTGTGTGTGTGTATGTGTGTGTGTGTGTGTGTGTGTGTGTGTGTGTGTGTGTGTGTGTGTGTGTGCGTGTGTGTGTGTGTGTGTGTGTGTGTGTGTGTGTGTGTGTGTGTGTGTGTGTGTGTGTGTGTGTGTATGCATGCATGCATGTGTGTGTGCGTGTGTGTGTCTTACATTGTATTTTCATAGATATACTGTGTAGTATATGAAAATATGGGAAAAAACTGCACCCACAGCGATGACCGCAAGAACTAGCAACAATATCAACTAAATGCTACTTTTAAAGATGAGGTAAAGACCTTGTGTGTTAAATGTCATACTGTGTTGGGCAGTTATATTTAAAACGTAAATGACCATTGTCCATATGCAGAAGATTAACAAATAAAATGTAATGAAAGAATCAACTACACACTCTAACACATGCTCACCTGCACTTGCAATGAGCAACTCATACTGTACATATACACATCAAATGCGAATAAAACATTTTATAGCAATGTCAATACTGCTTTTCAAGGTAAGAATGTTTAATATTTTGCTGTTACATATTTAATCAGATTAGGCTATGACCAGGTTGCAGAAACAAGATGCAGCCTTACAGATAATGGAGGTCAAAGGGGACACACTGAAATACAGTATGAATGAGAAAATTATGTTTAATGTTCCATTCATGGCTGAACCATCTGCCGTTACAGTACCTCCTAAATCTATAGCACACACCGTTTTATACTTTTCAACATGCAACAACCTTGCAAGGTAAGCAATAAACTGCTGTAGCCAGAGAACACTGATTAAAACATTATATGATTTATTTTAGTTTTTTTATGAGAAACTGACCAGAGTTACTGGTTAGTGTTAACTCTCTTTAATACACTCATATGTTTCATTTTACAGCAAATGTCAGTTATTGGTTATCTTTCATCTTACCTGATAAACGGATTCCAATTGTAACTTCAAAACATTACCAATGTAGGTGAACTGCATGTAATCCAATAATTAAACCTCACAACTGTGTTGGACCGTTCATACTTTTCCTTCTCCTCTGTAACTCTTTCAGCACAAAAATGTTTGCCTCGCTCAAAAAAGGAAGGAGGCACTTTCCTCTTTTAAAGGAAATTCCTGATGAGTTCCTTCCTCTTCACTACAATAACAATTGCATTCAAACAGGAACACTGGGATCACATCCTGTGTTTGAGGCAAACCACCTCTTTAACAAAGCCTTACCCTACAATAAATGTTTCCATAACATCTAATAATTCATTTTGAGAAAAGCAGTACCCATGATTTCATGTTGCAAATACAATTTCACATAATCATTATCTAATGTGCAAGTTTCAAGAAAACCACCACTAAATTCCTATGTAACATTTCCTTCTGAAGTTAAATTCAAAGGATCAGTGAACGCCTATTCTTATACTATTGTACTTAGCTGGTCAGACTGTCTATCCTGCATAGCCAACATGTGAAACTCATGGCTCGACAAAGATGATAAAGACAGCGAAAATAGTAGAGTACAATTTGTGGGTACATATTTTTTCTGAGTTCTTCCATTCCATGTTAGTTTATAATTACAAAACAACGACGCAGAAGCAAATATTGAACTTTTAGTTCACTACATTTATAAACTTAACACAAAAAGTAAGGAAATTTGTGTTTGGTAGATCATTTCTATGAGCTTTTTGGCAATACATCTTATACCGTTGGAAAGCCTGTTTAATTACCTTTCAGTATGGAGTATATGGGGTGAGCCCATGAAAAATTTGACAAATCTCCTCTTCCAATGCCAAACAGCTTTTTTTTTGCTGCTGACTGTAGTTTGGTGTTGTTTGGTGGATTGGATGATTGAAGTCTGATAAAGACATATTGGCAACAATTGATTCATTTAACAAGCAGCCTCAGTAGCGTATGGAAGAACGAAACAGCCCCACTTAGTGTCAGCAGAAAGTATTAAAAATAATGATTACAAAAAAATGCAAAGAATATATAAAATATATTTTAAGATCATGTTTAATCATCTGATTCGTCTGTACATTGCTGTTTTAGTCTGTGTTCTTCTAATTAGTGTCTACAGTGTGTGCCTATTGAGCTGCTTAGAGCCATGTGGGACAAAACCCGATCATGCCCGTCCCTCTCACTGTCTAAGTGAACGGTGACTGTAAAAACTACACTGCGCATGCTCAGAGTATTGTCCTATTTCATGTGTGTGGCAAAACAATAATGACCATAGGGCAGTGCTTCTCAAAGTGTGGTCCGTGGACCACTGGTGGTCCATGAGCGCCCCCTAGTGGTCCGTGAGTATATTGGTAACATTTGAAATAAATAAATACATTTAAGTTTTCCGCACTCTCGCGGGAAAATTTTCCGCAATGGAGCTAGGTTAAGTTTCACTTTCGATTGCATGATAGAGTCCAGCGCAACACCTTCATCACACATGTTGCCACTTGTTTGTACAATTTTCAGGCGATTTGTAATCTGTTCTAGAAAAATGATGTGTTTTTTGATATTTGTGGAGTTAGGTGGTCCGCAAGTGTTTTTTTATTGGTTAAGTGGTCCTTGGTATGAAAAAGTTTGAGAAACACTGCCATCAGTGGCGTTTTCTCCCGGAGGCCAAGGGTAGTTATAATTTAAATAAATAAATAAAAACACTTTGTTTTGTTTAGATAATTCTCCTTTGCTGTGTGTTGCTGCCGGCCCGTCTCTCCCCCATTCTCATTGAGTATTTTACAAAGAGTGAAACAAACAGCGCCCCTCTAGATGTTATGGTGAAACAGTAGATTGCACTCACTGTTGCGAGAGGAGGCCAGCCGAATCTAGCTTCCCTTCAGAGGCGGCTGGCGATTTGATTGGACACTGCCATCCAATCAAATCACATCAACATCAGTTTTAATACTGTAACTGTCATCACCGCCGTTAGAAATTATCAAGCAAATTAAGCATTATGGAGGCGGGTGGAGATTTGGCGTACTTAATCAAACATAACTTTACTAAACTTCCGCTACAGCAGCAACTCTAAATTAAATCAGATGACAGGCCAATGCCCGCACTCGAGCTGTGTGTACACAGAGGAAAAAGGGAGAGAATCGGGCGTTCAATGAGGACAATTATGTCCGCACGGAGTGGCTAACTGGAAGCGCTAAACTTCAGCGTCTATTTTGCTGGCCATGTCTTCTTTTTGACAAGGATTCGTGCTCCCTGAACAATCCTTGGGCAACTTCAGGATTCATCGACCTTGCCAACCTGTCACGGGCAATTGAGAGGCACGGTAAATCCAAAAATCACATAAATTGTGTGATTGTCTGCATACATTAATAAGTCAAATGCTTAAATGAATAAGGAGAGAGTTTCAGCTGGAGAGTGCGTGCGGACCAAGCGGCAAACTCTGGGGAAGAGCCGGGACGCCAATACGGAAGTGCCACACACTGCAGTTCATCTAGTGGCCAGTAGGAGCCATGGATGTATAATAAGAACTGGATACAGCGTGGGAGGCGGGGCCTCATTCATTCCTATGAGAGTTGCTCATTAGCGCATGATGATAAAATGGCCCAACTTTTGAGAGAGCGAAACGTCACAGATTACCCGGCATGCCTGAGAAGTACCCGTATGTGCGCTCATAGCGCATGCGCAACTTTGACCAAAATGCTCGTTCACATCAAGCACGTCAATTTGCGTACACGTAACAGCACCGCACATTCATGACAGCATGGTAATGATTTGTTATTATGATGGATTTGATATTAACGAGGCGGCAGTTAGCAGCTAGCGGCTAGCTAGTAATTATGCTAATGTGAACATAAATCGTTATGTACTTATATTACGCTGTAACAGGATCTAGTAATATCCAAGCAACAGAGCTTCATTTAGCATGAAAGAATGATTGCACTGTATATATATATATTAGGGCTGTCAGTCGATTAAAATATTTAATCACGATTAATCGCATGATTGTCCATAGTTAATCGCGATTAATCGCAAATTAATCGCACATTTTTGATCTGTTCTAAATGTACCTTAGAGGAATATTTTTCAAGTTTGTAATACTCTTATCAACATATGAGTGGACAAATATGCTTTATGCTAATGTTTATTATCATTTGAACAATGACAAATATTCTCATGAATATTAAACACAACAACCTCTGAACATTACAAATATTCGCCTCAATTCAACCTGGAACCTCTCTCATACAATAATACAATCACTGGCGGCACATATCAGACCCGGGCCGGGGGGCGGGGCCACATGACCGGGCCCTTTCAACCCAATAAAGCTTGACAAAAATATCGGGGTGGTAATCTGACGCTCGTGCGTAAAAAGTCGCTCAGTCAGTAAGATTACAATTTAAAACAATGTTTGAAAGAAAAGTAACTAAAGAAAAGGTGTAATATTTAAGATTTCGTTTCTACAAAGGGTATAGAAACGAAATATAAATATATATCAGAGATAATAATGATATAACATGACATAAAGTCCAACAAACCACAAGGACAACGAAAACATAGCCTAATAAAATAACTACATTTCTGACACACCATTCACCATGGACAGCCAGCAGCCACCATGAGAGCAGAGCAGTGTAAAATTGGCACGGCGGCCCATACGTTCACGTACAAGTAGGCTACTGTACAAATTAAATTTGAAGTGTACTCACCACTACTTGAAGGGTACTCGGCGAGCCTTGCGCTCCGCGAACTCGTCCACAATCCGCTGTATGTCCAATTTCTTGGCTCGGTCACTTTCGATGGATAGCAAGGCCAGTCCACTCAGTCTCTCCTGTCCCATCGTGCTCCTCAAATAGTTTTTGATGAGTTTTAATTTGGAGAAAGAGCGCTCGGCGGTTGCCACGGTGACAGGAAGAGTCAGAAATAAGATGAAGGCTGTGCAAACCTCACTGAATGTAGATGTTACTGCTGGGTTGTAAACAATGAGCATTTTTACCAGATCCGCGACAGATTTTAGTTTTTGTATTTGGTCCCTGAAACAGGTTCTGAAAGAAAGCAGCTGGCCAGGGAAGCTGGCGGCGATGTCCCGACTGTAGTGCTCTCTAAGCCGCTGGGCAGCTTGGTGTAAATCCTCATCCTTTGCTTGCAGTAGTGTGTTGGGGTGAATTGCCTCAAACATGTTCACAGTTGCATTTAAGCTGGTGAATCTTTGGGACAGTTGCTGGATGATTATATCGACACACTCATATTAGCCGCCCCATCATAGCCCTGTCCGCGACATTGAGACAGATCTAATCCGTTTTTCTCTATAGAACCAAGGATTTTGTTTCAAGCTCTGAAGCTGATGAACCTTCAGTCACTTCAAAACCCCAAAAGACTTCATTGATCTGTATATCTGTTGCAATATCCATGTCGTTCTTAACAACAGTTATGTAACGGTAAACCTGACTCAACTGGTCTATCTTTGACACATCTTGCGTTGTGTCCATGATGACGGAATAAAATGGGGCTTCGTTTATTTCATCAATGATGTCAGCTTTCACATGTTGAGATAATATGTAAATAATCTTATTTTGAATCTGGTGACTGAGGTATTTCACTGACCCTGCTGGTCGGTTGATTAGCTCTTTCAAAACAGGGTCGTAGCGAGCCAATAATTATATTATTGACAAAAAGTTGCCAGCTTTTCCCTGACCTAGAACCTCTCGATGGCCCCTGAATGCCAAGTTGCTTGAAGCTAGAGTGAGAGTTACATTAACAATGCGCTCCACGACCTGTCTCCAAAATTGGGCGGCATTACGCACATTCCTCTCCATGTCAGCGTCTATTGTGCCGTTGGTTTTCCACTGCTCATATACTACGCATGCACCAAGGTGTATTTGAGTGGATTCATGCCTTTCAATTTTAGTAGAAATATGTTTCCAGTCTTTTATTCCGTTTACCCATGCATTGTTGTAGAACGGTGCCTTTCGGTTGGCAAAAAGCCAGCAAAGGCTCACAGTAGCAGCAGTCCAATTTTGGGGAATAGCACATCCAGCTGCGTGGAAATTTCATCCCAACTTTAGTGGTGGAGGTGTAATAGCTTTCTGAAAAGCAACGGTTATCCTTGTCTTTGGGAAATGGACCTTTGGGTTTGCATGGGCCCATTTTAAGGATATATCTTTTGATATTGGCGTCCATGTTTTCAAAATAGTTTGCCCGATCAGTCGGAAAACGCTCCAGAGGATAATTGCAGGACACATCATGATCCGTGGTCTGAGTTTCACCCGTAGGCGTAGCATGAGGAGGAGACCTGTTGCTGCTTTCATTCCCAGTGTCCGGTACTTCTTCACCTTGCGGCGCAGCAGGTAAGGAGCCGGAGGGGGAGGGGTGCGGCTGGTCAAGCGTCAGGCCTGGCTCTCCTCTAGACGAGCAGCTAGCAGCTGCTGAGTCGTCCCTATTATCATCATCACTACAGCCGAGAGACAGAAAAGGAAATAAGCTAGGCGGCCGAGCTACACGAAGTAACAACAACCATATGATATCAACATTTACCACAAACTCACATTTTCTTGTTGACAGTGTGTGTCCGTGATTGTAGCCTACCTGTAAATCTGGCTAACCCCCACTAACATTGTTGGCGGGCTGGGGCTCGGGGATGAAACATGGCTGGCAGTGGCAACAACTTCAGGTTCATCTCCCGCAGGAGGAGGAGTAGGGCAACAAAAAAATCCATCTAGCTTGGACAATTTGACCTTTTGGTCCTCCTTTTTATCTTTTTCTTTGCGTTTTGTAGCTCCACTTTTGTGTTTATAACTGCTCATGCATAGGCAGTGCTCTGTTGAATGACAAGTGATTGATGATGACGTTGACGTTCATTTACGTATGATGTTGATGGACGGCTGTTGATGACGATTTTACCCAAAATACATTTGGAAACAATAGAAGGGATTCACTTGCAATTTTTCATGTTTTAATGTTAAATATGAGTGTGAAAATAGCAGCACAAGTTCAACTCATATTATAGGCTACAATGCTTTATACCTAATATGACCACGAACGTCAGTGCACTCAGTGGCGCGAGGCAGCAGGGCCCGCCGGCGAATATCTCGGGGGCGGAGCCTGCTGCCTCGGCGACGGGCCCCCATTGGGTCCCGACCGTCCCGGGCCCGTGGAGCCCTGCCCCTACAGCCCCCCCTGAAGCCCCGCCCCTGAATACAATACAAATGGTGTGTGTGTGTGTGTGTGTGTGTGCGTGTGTGTGTGTGTGTGTGTGTGTGTGTGTGTGTGTGTGTGTGTGTGTGTGTGTGTGTGTGTGTGTGTGTGTGTGTGTGTGTGTGTGTGTGTGTGTGTGTGTGTGTGTGTGTGTGTGTGTGTGTGTGTGTGTGTGTTGTGTGTGTGTTGTGTGTGATGGATCGTTGGAGCTATGTGCAACTCAAGGCATATGCTCGAACGGGAGCTGCCTGGACGCTGCAATCATGTTGCGCACTATCCGTGCTGAGTGTGCTGACTTTTCGTACAATGTCCCACTGTCTGGCTTCCTGCATAAAGTCAAGTGCTCGGCGCAGTTGTGGCGAAATGTCGTTCCTCTGTTTTCATTTAAACAGCTCCATATCCGTTAGCGCAGCTAGCTAGCACCAGATGCTAACAACAACAATGCACGTAAGGTCTCTTAGATAAAAGCGTCAGCTAAATGCAATGTAATGTAATGTAATGTCACATACACACACATACACACACCCTCCCGGTCCTCCCAATAGCCAGTCGGTGCCTGCCGGTGAGCGTGGAAGTGTGGTCTGCCACAAACGGGCGGCAGGAGCGGGGCTGTCAGCATCAGCTTGTAGATGGTATTTTAAACTCGATGCGCTCTGAAACTACGGGGCGGCCGAGGGAAAAAAATACACATGCGTTAATCGCGTTAAAATAATTAGTGGCGTTAATTTATTTTTGCGTTAACGCGTTATTAACGCGTTAACTTGACAGCCCTAATATATATATATATATATATATATATATATATATATATATATATATATATATATATACTTATAATAATAAGTAATATTAACTTTATTTAATACAACATTTACCGTACAAGATTTAATCATACAGCCCATGTAGTATGATAATGAATTATAGCAAACATGTGCAATATATCCATTATTACAGCTCCGTGGGGTGGCAGTAAGACGATATGGCTCCGTTCTTATTGTGCATCCATGGGTAAAGATAAACGCAACTCACATTGATTTCTCAAACAGCATCTCTGTAAACTACGTGTATTGTATTCACTGCATTTCACTCTCTGCCTTTAACGGCTTGTTGTAGCTCCAATAGCTCCAGCCCTCACCCTTCCTGTGAGCACAGTGTGCTCTGATTGGTCGGGACACGTAACATGATGTGGGGGATGTAGAGACAATTATTATTGGAGACTGGAACACGGATATGCAAGGTAAAGACACGTCCGTCTTCAAGTCCTTCAGTAGGATTTGTGATCTGCACGGCTTCAGCCAGCTAATCACCCAACCCACCCGGGTATGTGAAACAACACAAACTACCATTGATCTCATTCTGACCTCTGACAAGTCCAGGATCTCCAGTAAAGGGGTTATAGCATGCGGTTTAAGTGATCATTATATGATATTCTGTACCCGCAAAAAGCTAAAACAAAGGGCCGGCTGTCACAAAACAGTCATATCTAGAGACCTCAAACACTACTCTAGCGAGGCCTTTAACCTAGAACTGGAGAGCCTGGACTGGTCAGATGAGCTCAGTGGTACACAAGTTGAAGAAACATGGCTTGGTTTCAAAAACAAATTCTCTGCAATACTCAATGATTTGGCCCCCCTAAGAACAACCAGGGTAAAAAATCGCGCTGAGCCGTGGATGCACTCCGGCATACTGACCGCCATGAAAACCAGAGACAAAAAATGCTCTGAGTTTCATAAAAGTCAGTCAATGCTTTCCAAAAGCACGAGCAGTGAACTCCAGGCCCACGTGACTGAACTACAAATTGAAAGAAACAGACTAAGAAATGAGGTAAGCTCCATGGTCAAAACTGCCAAAAAGAATTTCATCAATGTCAAAACTGAGGAAAACAAAAATAAACCCCGTGAACTTTGGAAATTACTCAATAACCAGCTTGGCTGCAGTAAAAAACTCAAAACGAGATTTTCTAACTTAAACATAAAGACAGATAACAGGCTCATCACAGACAAACTGGATGTGGCCAAGTACTTGACATTTTTTTTCACAAACATAGCCACAACTCTTGTAAATAAATTACCCTCCCACTCAGGGCTTTTTGGAGTAGATCACATCATGACCTACTACAAAAACCTAGGGGTACGCAAAGATGATTTCAGTCTAGCAAGGGTAACAACAGCAGAGGTACTCATTAAACTGAGCGCCATCCAACCTAACAAGGCCACCACGACAATATCCCCTCCAAATTCCTCAGAGACACAGCAACCGCCATCTCACCAGTCATAGCTCACATAATTAACCTCTCCATAAAACAGGGAAAAGTACCCAAAGACTTCAAAATTGCAAGAGTAACCCCCCTGCACAAAAAGGGCAGCAAATTGGACCCAGGCAACTACCGCCCTGTTTCTATACTTACCTCCATCTCGAAAGTCATGGAAAAAATAGTATATAAACAGGTCGAAAAGTACCTCGCGGAAAAAAAACTAATCTATGAATTTCAATCTGGCTTTAGAACATCCCACTCCACTGACACATGCCTTCTTTATTTGAGCGACCACATCAAACAAGAGGTGGACGAGGGCAAGTACTGCGGCATGGTGATGCTGGACCTACAAAAGGCTTTCGACACTGTCAATCACCCCATTCTGATTGACAAGCTAAAAGCAATTGGTTTTGATAAACTATCGGTGAGCTGGATGCAATCCTACCTGGAGGGGAGAGAACAGATGGTGGAGGTAAACGGTACTCTGTCCCCCCCCCTCCCAGTGAGCTGTGGTGTTCCACAAGGAAGCATATTAGGTCCGTTACTGTTCCTAATTTATGTAAATGACATGTCATCAGCATGTGACTGCAACTTGTTCCTGTTCGCGGACGACTCAGCCCTGCTGGTCTCTGACAGGAGCAGATTGCAGGTTGAAAAAACCCTCAGCTCCGAGCTCGGCAGAATCTGCACCTGGCTCGCCGATAATAAATTATCATTACACCTGGGTAAAACAGAGTCCATTCTCTTCGGTTCGAAACATAATCTCAGCAAATCCGACGACTTCTCAGTTGCAGTGGGCGACATTATTGTCACAAGTAAGAAGGAAATTACATACCTAGGATCTATTCTTGAGGCAAACCTCTCCTGTGACAAAATGGCATCCAATGTAATAAAAAAAGTCAATCAAAGAACTAGATTCCTATACCGGATCTCCTCTCTGGTAAACAAAAACACCCTGAAAACTCTGGCAGGAGCACTCATTCAAGGGTACTATGACTATGCTTGCACGTCATGGTACCATAGCACCTCCAAGGCGCTAAAAATAAAAATTCAAACATCGCAAAATAAACTGGTCAGACTACTGCTTGACCTTTCATCTAGAACCCACCTCACCTCTGCCCACTTTGACAACCTAGGATGGCTTAGAGTAGACGACAGAGTACAACTACTTGCAATGGGCCTGGTCTGCAAGATCCACTACACCTCTATGGTACCCATGTACATGTCAAAATTCTTCCCAAAGGTCAAGGAATACCATGATCATAACACCAGAGGGAGCTCCACAAATCATGTGAAACCCAGATTTGGCACAAAAAAGGGGGAATACACGTTTCGCAATTATGCCACATCAAGGTGGAACGCTCTTCCCACAACTGTAAAGGAAAGTAAAACTATACTTACCTTCAAAACCTCTCTTAAAGAGCACCTTCGGGGGAGAGCATTGCAAAACTGGCCCCGGTAATGGTACAAATCTCAACCTGTCGTTCAATGGACAGCTTCCCCCCCCATCTATGTATATACTCACATTTTAGACTCTGTTACTAACTGTATATCTGTAGACTTGGTATGTCTTGAATGTCCGGTTAGGATGTATTAGAACGAAATCTAAAATGAAAATTGTAAATAAGCAATCTGTATGTAAAAAACCACCTGTATGTAAATTGTAAATAAGCCATCTGTATGTCTTATATGTCTTAAATGATATGATGAATTGGAAATGGGGGACCCTGATGTAAACAAGACGAAAGTCTTTCTCTGGTCTGCATCCCCTTAACAATTGTATGTTTTGAGCTGTACCCAATATACAAGCTGTTAATAAACTTTTCAATCAATCAATCAAGTGTCTTCTTGACCAACAACTTAAGTGTTTCTTATAGCTATGCAGGGCATACAAGCAAGCGAACACAAACAAGAACAAACAAACAAGTGAAATGAAGAATACAATTGAAATTGTACAACATAATATTGTGGTGGTTCATCTTATAATTTAGTCTAGAGAATGCACCAGACAGCATCTAAGACCTGCAAAAATCTACATTTTCTAGGGGGACGGAGGCCCCCCAAACCCTTCGTGCCACTATTATGGCCCCTGTTAAAAATGTTTGTAATGTTATCTACTGTAAATTGGTCGAACGAATGCCTCCTC